TATTCTTTTTGAGAAATAACCCAGTCAAGCAAGAATTCTGGGAAATCTTGCTGGTTGTTGAGGATTTTTTAGGGCTTGGAGAAACCCTAGTTGTGGATTTAACAGGAGGTTGAATGTCCTCGGTTGCCATGGTTGAAGGATTTGGATCTGGTGAAGTTTTAGAACTTTGGCTTTGACGAGTTGAACGCAGAGATGGCGGAGGAACATTCTTCTTCGGCTTCACGGTGCCATGCTTGGATTTAGGCATTGTCGAGAAATAGAAATTCTCTTGAAGAAGGAATGTTAGAAAGTTTTTAGAAGGATAAACAAATCAGAGATTATGATTGATATGAGAGAGAGAAGCAAGGTGGTCTGAATGATATAGGGAACTTAAATCACAGTTACAAAGGTCGGTTACAAAACGGTTCGTCTCACAATATTTGAAATTCAAAATTTTGACCAACACCGCGCAGAAAAAAAAAAAACCATTCCCTCCAAACAGATTACTTACCAAATTAATTAACATAGTTACCATCTATAACGCACGAAGTTGCAGACAAAAAATATCAGCCAAATCATGTACCAAAAATAATTTTAGGCTCAAGATCGAAATAATATATGCCATGGGAAAAACTGGATGCACATGCCTAAATAGGGTAAAATACTTTTTTCCATCCGAACTATCACGGTTTTGGCGCATCACCATATAAACTATTTTTTTTTTAACAAACCACCATATGTACTATACGAGTTTGTCAATGTGCCCCCTAAACAGAATATAAAAGTGGTTTTGATTGAAAAAGTTGTTTTGTCACCATATGTGCCCCCTAAATACTTTTACAAACCACCATATGAACTATCACGAGTTTGTCAATGTGCCCCCTAAACCACTTTTATATCCGGTTTAGGGGACATATTGACAAACCCGTATAGTTCATATGGTGGTTTGTACAAAAAAATAGTTTATATGGTGATGCGCCAAAACCGTGATAGTTCGGATGGAAAAAAGTATTTTACCCGCCTAAATAAGATATTTAACACGCAATACCCTAGAATTTTCTTTTCCCGCAATATTGAAAAAAATCCATTAACTGATTGACCCAGAAATCTTTCCAAATCAATTTGAGACGAGCTCAACACTAACAAGATGATGAGAAAAATGATTCATCTTCGTGCACAGCTAAGCCCTTATTGCTCCCACTTTTATACAACACGGAAAATATAAGTTCGTTCATCACTTTCTCTTAGCAAAAAACAAAATTTTCGTTCTCAATTCAACCCCAATAATTATGATGAACTTACTCCGCTCTATGAACTTCCACACTAATTCACTTACTAACATCAACTATATGTCAATGTCAGGCCCATTACTTGAGTTGCGAATCATCCCGCAAAAAGTTTTAATTTTGAACAAGCTGAGAAGATATCAGGATGGCCAACCTTATTCCACCAGAGAACGTTCATTCTTACAATGTTTACCTGTAGCTATCACACCTCGATTATTGTTAAGCACGTAACTCGTTTCACAGGTGATCAAGGAAGCACCTCATGTGATAGTTGCCCGATTCCTATTTTCACGAGTGCAGCTCTTACAAGTATATTAAAATGGTCATCATGATGAGCTCTTACAAACTGACCAGTTAGAATTCAAAGACCACCAATCAACGAATTCAACAATAAATGATCCGAGAAGGATTCCAGGGATGAACCTACATACTAAGATGCCTAAAATGCAGAAGAGATCCTATATGCAATAGACATGATATACATATATATTTATCGAAATGCAACTGACACAATGCACATAACTTATATAGCACACATTCCTAAATATTTTCTCAGGGACAAAAATCGTTTCAAATCAAGAGCTTTAGTAAAGATATCAGCAAGCTGATCATCTGTAGGTACATGATCCAACACAATAATCATATCTTCTACCAGATTACGAATAAAATGATAATGAATGTCAATATGCTTGGTACGAGAGTGTTGAACAGGATTTTTCGAAATATTTATAGCACTAGTGTTGTCACAGAAAAGTTGAGCCGAATGAACGTTCATACCATACTCAGATAAAATCTGTTTCATCCATACCAACTGTGAGCAGCAGCTTCCAGCGACAATGTAGTCGGCTTCAACAGTAGAAAGGGAGATGCAGTTTTGTTTCTTGCAGAACCAAGAGACCAAGTTTGATCCTATGTAAAAACACCCACTAGAGGTGCTTTTTCGATCATCAAGATTTCCAGCCCAGTCAGTGTCACAATAACCTGCAAGATGTAAGTTCATATCAGCAGAATAGAATAGACCATAATCTGTTGTACCTCCAATGTACTTTATGATATGCTTGACTGCTTTCATGTGTGATTCCTTGGGAGCAGCCTCATACCTTGCACACAATCCAACACTAAACAAAATGTCAGGTCTACTAGTAGTGAGGTATAGAAGACTACCAATCATACTTCTGCAAAGAGTTTGATCAACAGATGTACCTTCATCGTCTTTGGACACTTTTACATGAGTGCCCATAGGAGTTTGAGGACATTTAGCATTTTCAAGACCAAACTTTTTAACAAGGTTTTTTGCATACTTACCAATGATGCAAGAAAATACCTTCTTTACCTTGCTTTACCTGAAGTCCAAGAAAGTATGAGAGTTCGCCGATGAGACCCATCTCGAATTCAGACGACATAAGTTTAACAAAGTGATTGACCAACTTCTTGGATGTTGATCCAAAGATGATGTCGTCGACATAGATTTGAACAGCCAATAGGTCCTCATTCGTTCGAAGAGCAAAGAATGTCTGATCTACTCCTCCTCTCTTGAATCCCTTTTCGTGAAGGTACATGGTAAGGCGTTCATACCACGCACGAGGCACTTGCTTTAATCCGTACAATGCTTTCTTAAGTCTGTAGACATGATTCGAATCCTTGGGATCTTTGAACCCTTCTGGCTGCTTCACGTATGCCTCTTCATGTAATATCCCGTTCAGAAAGGCAGATTTCACGTCCATCTGATAAACAATGAACTTCATTAGATAAACAATAGATAGAAATATGCGTGCAGATTGAAGTCTAGCAACGGGAGCAAAGGTTTCATCAAAATCAATCCCTTGAGTCTGAGTGTAGCTTTGAGCAACTAGTCTCGCCTTATTACGCGTCACATTCCTGAACTCATCAGTTTTGTTCTTGAAAATCCACTTGGTTCCGATAAAATTTCCTGATGAAGGTTCAGGGACTAACTCCCAGACATCGTTTCTAGTGAATTGCTCCAGTTCCTCCTGCATGGCTAAGATCCAGCACTCGTCTTTCAGAGCTTATTTAGCATTCTTGGGTTCAATCAATGAGGTGTAGCAGGCATAATGTGAAACACCCATAAGTTCTTTGACTGACGTCTTTGAGTTTCTGGTTACTCTCTCGTTTATGTCACCAATTACTTGCTCGGATGGATGGTCTTTCTGAATCCTTAAGGGAGGATCACGCCTAGGTAGCACAAAACCTTCTTCAGTTGTAGGGATAATGTAGTCAGTTGGTGTTTCAGCATCCCCAACCGAAGTTTCAGCTATCTCCTTATCTGCAGGACTCTCAACACCATGAGTATCCTGCAATGCCTCAATAGCATCAAACTGATTAAAAGATACAGAGGAACTAACTTGAGAATTTTTTTCATCAAAGATTACGTTTATTGACTCAATTACAGTGGAGGTACTTGTGTTGTAAACATGATACGCTCGACTATTGTCAGAGTAACGAAGAAAGAATCCAATATCCAATTTTGCATCGAACTTCTCAAGTTGTACACGATCATTATAGATAAAACATTTACACCCAAAAATATGCAAGTGACTGAGGTTAGGACTCTTACCTTTCCAGAGTTCATACGAAGTCAGACCAATACCTCCACGAAGGTACACACGATTGACAAGGTAGCATGCTGTATTGATTGCCTCAGCCCACCATCTGGAAGAAATGTTTTTGGAGTTCAACATGACTCTGGCCATTTCTTGTAGAGTGCGATTATTCCTTTCAACAACTCCATTTTGCTGAGGAGTTTTAGGAGCTCAGAACTCGTGACTAATACCCAGAGAATCACAAAATTCAGCAAACTCAGAATTTTCAAACTCTCTTCCTGTTGGAACCCATGAGGATCTCGATATGCACATTTCACGGACAAACATTCAACATAAACCTATGCGCAGCGGATCTAAAGGTTTGATGAAGAAAACTTACTGCTTAAAATTTATGTAGATCTGGCTGGCCCGAACAGTTGACCGCAAATCAAATCTTCTCAGAATCGAACAAACTTGACCAATCCAGAAAGCTGACGTCACGGCGAAGTCAACGGCGTTGACCAATCAGAAATCGGAGCTTCCACGCGCTCTCACGCGCGCGAGTGACTCCCAGCAGCAGTAAACTCCCGGCGGCGCATGTGGGCGCGTGCGGCAGCGTGCGGCGGCGATCTCGACGGTGATCTCTTCGTCTCGTCGTTCTGGTCGTCGTGGTATGGTCACTTGCTGGTTTTGGTCTCCGGTTTGGATGTATGATTGGAATCTCTATATAACTTAAGATCTTCTAATGTATTCTCAAACAGCTTTCTAGATCTTGTATCAGTGGAGCACAAGAAATAGAAGA